AATGATAACAGATTGGGTAGGAAAAGTGAACCAATAAGAATTGTGCAAATATCTTTGACCATCCAGTCCAAAGAATAAAGCAGTAAAATTTTGTGAGACTTTAGAGTTCTTAAGGATCTTCAAAACCAGGCTGATAGTCATTCGTTAGCTCTTTGGAAAGGAGACTTCGATTTTCCTGAAGAGTGTTGCAAACTGAAGAAATGGAACTCCGCGTAAGAATTGAAACCATACATACGACGATATTCAGTCACCCCCCCCGAGGGTGTCATGTGGCACAAGGCCTTTTTAACGTGGGCATTCCAAGCCCGTGGGCTCGGCCAAAAATATGCCCGTTGAACCCGTATAAACGGGTTCAGAGGCGGTTTTACCTCCCCGAAGGAGACTCCGCCCTTCGGTGTAGCCTCCTTCGGGTTCCTCTCCGTCCATAGGAAGAGAGTTCAACCGAACAGTCGGTAGTGAACTACTGACTGACTCAAGCGTCACTAAAATCGAGTAGAATACTGAAAACAAATGTGAAAGAATTGAGGAAAATTGATGCAACTAAATAAACAGTGAAAGGCGATCATTACTTTTGATATGAAAACGTTTAATATTCTTTAATATAGTTGGAAAAGTAGAAACATTCCACAGAGTATATAAACCGTAACTGTAGATCCGGTTAACTTGCAAAAGTATTGGTTCTTTATTGATGTTAATTCAGATCGATTCGATAATATAGAAAGCGGAAACGGAAACAATTACAGTTGTCATTGAAGCAAAATGAAGCATGACGAAAAGGAGATCGAACACATATCTTGGGCAGATCTACGTAAACTATATCCAAGCACACTACAAAAGATCGCACTGTTAAGAACTGCTCGCATCCTGATAACATTTCTAACATCAAGTCATATTTGCGTTTCTTTACGAAAAGAATATTTGCATTTCTTGAGTTTGTTCTGTAGACATTGTGAAATGTAGAATAAAATAACGTACACGGCTAATAATAATAATAATAATAATAGCAATAATAATATTAATAATAATGTTGATAATAATAATAAAGATGTAATGTTTAGTATCAGCATTATGAGATAAAAAAAGTCTTCCAGACGTTTATGTTTTTTTCAAGGTGCCCCCTACCCCCGCCCACAATTCAGCTAAGTAAATGTTACCAAAAATGTCCCCGATAAACAATGGCTGTTGTCAGCACGAGATTCCTGGAGGTTAGGAAAATCTATGCACCAAGAATATAAAAGGGATTTGGAAAGCACGTTTCTTGGAAGTAAATAACTAAAAAAAAAAAAGAAGAAGTTCTTCAAAAACAGTGAAGAACGAAAAAAAAATCTTTTCAAATTCGCTTAAAACATTGACGAAGAAATCGACTCAAATCTTGTCCAGATTTTTTTTTATTTGAAAAAAATACTAGAAATAGATCACAACAACAACAACAACAACAACAACAACTACTACTACTACTACTACTGCTGCTGCTGCTCCTGCTAATAATAATAATTATTATTATAATAATGAAAAATAATTCTTCAAACATACTTTTAGGAAATCAGTATTTAATTAATACATAATAAAATATTGTTTTTTTTTATATACTTCGCTAATTATTCATATCCGCATATCATTTTCTTGTCTGTTAATTATATATGGATTCTTTTAAAAATGCTTTCCTTTGACCTGAATCAACTTCACGTGATTTCGAACCCAGATCGGCCAGCCCCACCTAAGCAGGAAGAGCGGATTAGACTATCGTAAATAAGGTGGAAAAAAAGAACCTGTCAGATCATTGACGTAGCTTTTGCGTGAAGAAGAATAAGGCTCTTTTGACAATGTTATGGAATATGAAGATTAGGGTCAGGGAAATAGTAATCGGTGCCCTTGGAATTGTGCCAAAAACACTGAGATCAAGATTAGATAAATTAAAACTCCGGGGAGGTGTTGGGGCTTTACAGTTCTCGGCGTTATCGGAGTTTATGAAGATATTGAGAAAGGTGCTGCAGATTTGCTGTCACTTAATCCCCATTGATAACCACCATATGTCTTTTGTATGAATTCCAATGTTTAGATTAATTATAATAAAATCTCTGATGGTATAATAGGGATGGGCTCCCCTGGCTCCCCTGGCTCCCCTGGCTCCCCTCGCTCCCCTCGCTTCCCTGGTTCCCGATCTTAAATGATTGAAGGTGTTTTATTTTGGTGAATTAAGAGACGTTGAAGTAAATATCTCGTTCAGTGCCACAGATTGGCTTGTCAGGTGCCCGATCATAACCAGTTGGGAATGACACCAAAGGGGGTGAAGCATTGTGCATTTCTGTCCACGAAGGGGGGTAGAGGAAGCAGCATAATGGCCGGGTGTTGAGACATTTCTTTTTTTTTAGTTTTTAAGGACGGGACAGACAAGACAACTTGCGAATTACAGTCAAACACATCATGTACAGACCCCACCCATCAACGGACTTCGGATGCAACGGACAAAATCTGCAGTCAAAATAAAAATAATCTGCAAGAAAAAAAAAAAAACCTTCCAAATTGTCAGCGATATATTTAAAAATTTGCTGGCTTAGTGAAACTTAGTTCTCATAGTGACCGCTTGGCGGCGGTAACGGCCTTGTCATTTGTATACAAAGACAGGTGTACAGTATATAAAGTACGACACAGGGCGTATGTGAGAAAGTAGCCGTGAGAAGTCTATCATTTTTGCTTTTTGTTTAATATACCTATCTTAAGTATATATTCGTTTATGGCATATATACATGTTTGTAGTATTTACACTATGATCGTCATGGTTGGTAGCTACTGTAGAGGTTTTATAACTCAAAAATAATCCCTTCCCATCTACGGACAATCGGCTTTAACGGACCATCCCTCCTCCATATTAGTCCGTTGATGAGAGGTTTGTCTGTACATTTAAATACTTTGAAACACACTTAACAGGAAATATTCTGAGGTGACTGGATTTTCCAATCGGAAGTTAATTTCTAACTGCGTGCCACCTTCAAAACGTATCACGATTTGATTGCAATCCATGTGCGTGGTATACACATATCAGACTATCATGATGGACATATTTGGTTTAATTTTCTCACCCACGCAATAATAATAATAATAATAATAATAATGTCTTACAAAACCACAACAATTGGTTTTCAAAGATACCTAGAAATTACAGAAGGCTGTCAACGACCACAAAAGAAATAAGAAACTTTATTCAGTAATAAAGGAAGCCAACAAATACAAAATGGAATTTCAAGTGAGTAAAGAAGTGCAAATAAACCATAATACACCGAGTGCAGCGGTAAAGAAACTAAAAAAGAGGCCCCAAAAAGCAAAGGCAATGAACCAAATGAGAAAACGATGGCAGGATAAGTTTCTACATGGTCAATATTCTGCCCGTACCAAACAATCTTATGTAGACAAACTCTGTACCCATCAGTGGCTACGTAATGCAGGGTTAAAAGTTGAAACCGAATGTTTTATTCTTGCTGCACAGAACCAATGCTTACTAACTAGAAATTATCCGAAATGCAAATTTTGTGATAAATATCCAGAAACAATTAACCGTCTTGTAGCAGGTTGCACAGTGTTAGCACCAACTGAATATCAAACACTGCATGACAGAGTGGGTAATTATCTGCGCTAGAAAATATGCAACTTTTATGTGAAGGAAACTGCAAGAAATTGGTATGAAAAACATCCAAACCCGGTAATAGAGATAGGACCTGAAAGAATTTTATGGGACTTTAAAATACACACAGACAGAACAATCAAAGCTAACAGACCAGAAATCGTGATCAAGAACAGAATGTGCCTTTTTATTGACATGACAGTCCTTTCAGATTTAAAGAGATTAAAAAAACTATAAAAACAAGGACCTTGAAATGGAAATCTCAAAAGGCGCATTTCAGTTGTAGTTGGAGCCCTCGGTTTGATTCGAAAAGGTTCCGATAGACTCACTGAAGGGATTCCCTTGGTAGCCCAAGCCTTAAAGAAATACAAGAAATTGTACTCACAAATACAGCTGACTCTTTATGAAAGATTTATCAATGTAAAATGTGTGTGATCTTAATTTTTTTTACAAAAATGATCAGTGGAAATGTCATGAGCCATTTTTGAACTTAGGTCTCTAGTTGGGACCCTAAAGGAAATGTGTATACAACAGAAATCCAAGGAAATAATAAAAACAATAATAATACAGACATTAAGGAAATCCCAGGAAACGCCTATTTGTAATACAAAAGACTTCCCTACTGGGCATCGCTCAATATGCTCGGAAAAAAAAATCTCTTAATATAATATGCTTAATGTTGTGGTAGGATCCACCTAATTTGCATAGTGGAGTACCGACCATATAAATATGGTTGGTACCGGGAAGACGGGAGAGGAATCAAGAGATTCAATCCAGAGACTCTGCCCGACTGCGACTAAGTCAACACATTCTCCAGGAACGGTCTTCCCAAGAATATACAAAAGACTATATGTAAATATTGTGTACACTTTCTTGTTTCAATACATTTTGTTCTAAGTACATTTTGTGTTGTATTATTATTCCATGCATTAGCCAAGTTTCAACACGTAATAATTTTGTAAAACACACCTTTAATTCAAGTCTTTTTGAGAACGGGTTCGGACAAGGACTGTATCCAAAAGCAAATCAAGAAAAGTGGAGATGATAATAAATTGATAAGACTGAAATTCGATAAAATATCAGCTTTAAAAAACAAAAACAAAAAAAAAACACTACAGTCTTTGTTGCTAGATTTAACGTTAGAAATGTACAAACGGCTATTATGTCTGGTTGGATATTTTATAGCTTATCAATCTTTTTTCGGTTTATTTAAAGTGAGAAATATTATTAGATCGTAAAAACTTTATGGAGATAATAATGATTTCCTGATACAAGTCTTACTAATTAGTTGAATATGAAGAACCGGACTGAAATTGTAACTAAGCTTTCTAATTTTCAATTTCGAATCGTTATCCATTACACTACCCACACATCAAGCTTATAGTACCTGGTGTTCCCAGGTGATCATCCATCTAGATGCTCACCAGGCACGATGTTGCTTAACTTCGGTGATTGTACGAGAACCAGAGTTTTAACGTGATATAGCCGTAAGCCGATTACATCACTCGATTATTCATGGTTGCAGCACCTGGTATTTCTAAGCGGTTACCCATCTAGATACTCCCCAAGCTCAATGTTGCTTAACTTCAGTTATTGTATGAAAACCGGTGTTTCAACGTGATATGGCCGTAAGCTCATTACATCAACCGCTTAGCCACGGTTACAGCACCTGCTATTTCCAAGCGGTTACCCATCTAGATACTCTCCCGGTTTAATTTTGCTTAACTTTAAGAACCGATATTTCACCGTGATATGGTTGTAAGCCCATTGCATCAGTACGCTTAGTCAAGGTTACAAGGTTATTTCCAAGCGGTCACCCAACTAGATAATGACCAGGCTCGGTGTTGCTCAACTTCTGTTATTGTACGAGAATCAATGTTTCAAAGTGATATGGCCGTAATCCTAACCACTATTCTAATGGTGACGATTTACGAGTTTTAATGAGACAAGCTTTCTAACCATTGCACCACGTCGATGTGCCCAACCTAACAACTATTATAAAAAGTTGATTGGGCTTTGTATATTCCTAACCCAGCCTCAATGTACTACTACGTTGCTCTTTTCACTCAACAACAACAACATTATTATTATTAATATTGAGTTGTGCTTATCACCATTCGGGTGCTTGTAACTGTCCCGAAGACTTTACCAAGAATTTGGAAGCATCAGAATTTAGGAAAATGGTCCAAACCATCCAAACACCATCATGAATAAATCAGCCAGGAATGTTTGAATATTGACGTGTTTTGCAGCCATTTGAACCCTAATGAAACTCCCAGTCACTACTCGTGTAAAAGTCGAAATATTATTGACAAAAAGCTATATATATGAGAAATCTAACACATCGTCACAATAGCAGAAATCTTCGGGACTAGCTTGTCAAGCATCTCTCGACAGTAGGCGTCCAAAGCGGAAACAGTGACATAATGAGATCAGAAAAAATAACATGGAAATCCTTATCAATATTCATAATGAGAAGAATATAATGAGGATAACGGAATTCCTTAGGGAATGCGTTAATTTGATTGGAATTTGTGGAGACAAAAGTTAATGGTGAACGTCCGGTTTGAATAGGAAATCAATTCGAAGGCAATCAACCCACCAGCAAGAATCGCGAAGTGAAAACAATAGCAGCAAGTCTCATTTCAGCATCAATAGTCGGGATTCTGCAGAAGACAGAATCTAGAGCAACATTATCTTCTGTTAAAATGTCTAGTTGATTATATTGTCAACAATTATATAAACAGAAACATTGATTGGCTTAAAATAATAATAATAATAATAATAATAATAATAATAATAATAATAATAATAATAAAAAACACGTCACGACAGTGTAGGCCAATATTTGCACTGGAAAATATGCAACTTCTACGGAATTGGTATGAACACCACCCAGACCCGGTTATGGAGATAGGACCTGTTACAATTTTATGGGACTTTACAATACACAAAGACAGCACAATCAAAGCTAATCGCCCGGACATCGTGATTAGAGACCGCAAAGACAAAAAGTGCTTCCTTATTGACATGTCAGTCAGTCCCTGCAGACAGCAATGTAGAAGATCTTCAAAAGACTATCAAAATACAATGACCTTGAAATCGAAATCTCAAAAATGTGGCGCATAAGGACATTAACAATTCCAGATTGATTGGAAAAGATTCCAATAGAATTATTGAATGGATTCCTGTAAGCCCATGCCTTAAAGAAATACAAGAAATTGCTCTCACGAGTACAGCCCCACACCTTACGAAGGACTTTATCTATGTAAAATATGTGCGATTTGAATTCAAACCTGCTCTGTGAGAAATGTCATGATGCCATTTCTGACCTTAGGTCTCTGGTTGGGACCCGGAAAGATACGAGTATAGACCAGAAACAAAGGGAAATAAAACAACAACAACAACAACAATAATAATAATAATAATAATAATAATAATAATAGCTGAAGAATTTATGGAACATGAATGTCGAGCTAATTTATGTAGTAATTGATGCACTTGGATCGCCACCTAGAAAACGGAAAAAGTACATAGAGAGAATTGGAATTGAGACCAACATCGTAGACATGCCATCATTTACTCTACCTGGATTCTCTGAAATATTCTTGAATTGTGAGGCGTCTCGTAGACACCAAACCTCAAGAAGAGAATTTCCATTAACTGCGTCAAATTATGTTTAAAAATTCATACAAGTACAAAAAAAAAAATATAAAAAAATAGAAGTCTCTGTAAAACATCGCTTGTTTTGAAACAAAATCTTGTATTTGTAATCAATGCCACAAAGCGAATGAAAGTAGAGGGATACTGTTAAAATGCTTATGATCAATGGAAATCATTTTATGAAAAGGGAGGTGCTAGGAAGGGAAGATTACGAGAATAAGGAAGATAAATAACGACTGACCCTTGACTTGAAGAGGTTAAGATTGTAGTGTTTAGGGAAGCATCAATGGCGGTGTCTGTCCCACAAAAATGAGGCTGTTCAGACAAAAGCAGTGATTTTAGAGAGACTGCGAAGCCAGAGAAAGATGATGACAATACAAAGTGACTCGATGTGACTAAACGTCTAGAACAGTCGCCAGATATCTAATAATAATAATAATAATAATAATAATAATAATAATAATAATGAAAAAAAAGTTGTCAAAGTACAAGGACCTTGAAATAGAAATCTCGAAAATGTGGCATATGGGAACATCAACAATGCCTGTTGTAGTTGGAGCCCTAGGACTGGTTGGAAAATATTGCAGTAGACTAATTGAAGGGATTCCTGGAAGTCCATGCCTCAAGGAGATACAAAAAATTGTTCTGACAAGTACATCCCACACCTTACGAAGGGCTTTATCTATGTAATTTAATTTTTTTTTTTTTTTTTTTTGTCAGTGGAAAGTGTCATGATGCCATTTCTAACCTTAGGTCCCTGGGCGGGACCCGGAAAGAAAAATGTAAACGCCAGAAATCAAAGAAAAAAAAAAATAATAATAATAATAATAAGAAAAATAATGATGATGATGATAATAATAATAATAATAATAATAATAATAATAATAATGATGGATCCAAACGGATCCCTCAGCCTCAATTAGAAAATGTCATCTGCTAGTCATCAGCAAAAAGCAAAAAAGAACATGTCCCCAGATCGTGGTCCACGAAGCGGGTTTGAACTGAAAAGATGGATGAGGATTTCAACCGTGCCAGGAAGCTGAGGATGTTGTTGGACATAAACGAGACAGTCTTTAGGGAGAGATCCAAGGAAACTAAGGCCGAAGGAACTGGAAAACAAGGGTAAAGTCTGAACCATCAAGACGACAGCGTTGATAGAAATAACGAGAACAAAGAAAGCTAAAATATTCAGAAAAATTGATCTCATCTAAAATAGGCTAGAAACACATATGAAAATATGCATGAGAGATAAATGCTAGTTTTGGCCGCCATTTTTAAGATTGATAAAGAAAAAAAACTTCAGAAGAATTTAGAAAAATTCAGAGACAGCAATTAAAAATCATATTGAAATAATGTATATAATTATTGATCTGAGTAAGATATTCGCTTCTTTCTTTGAATTCATTTCCTTCTGACTCATTAATGTAGTCATTGATTAAAGCAGAGAAAATGCCTGCCTTTCTTTGCTCTCGCTATTCACAATTGAAAGCGAATTTTCCAATGTCAAATATATTTGACTTCTATCGTTCCACGTTCTTAAATAACTAAAAACTCGAAGAAAACACATTACAAAAGATTTCTCTCATGTTTTCAGTGAACCCTGCTCATAAAGTCCACAATTGGTAATAGCAGAACTAGTATATAAGATTTCCAAATGATTAAAAAAATATGATTGATTTGTTTGGATCGTTGAACAAAGGTTTTTTTTTGGTACCGATTTACCCCAAATTTCTGTAACTATCTCTCTATATTTATCTGATTCCATGTTCATATCGACCAATAATCACCCCCTACTCTCTAGATCTGTCAGTTCTTTAGTTCCAACAATACGAATCATTTTAAATTGATGGTAAAGTTATATCTCTTGCATTTTAGAGTAAGAATCAGATTAAAACAATATACTTATGTCTCCGTGTATGTATTTACTTACGTATAAATGATTAACATACGTAATTATCATGTATATATGAAGGTGTGTGGATGGTTGATTGATAGACTGACATTGAGGAATTGACATTTTCAATTAAATAAAAGCCACACGTCGTGTTGTTCATCTTGCCTTGGCTTTGAGTCGTTCTAATTTATTCAGTGTTGAAAAACAAAGTAAAATTTCATTTGACCGGATTTCAAGGCCAAACTTTATGTTGTAGTCATTTGAGCAGGCGACACACAGACTTTTACGGCGTTTCACCCTTTTCTATCGTTTTCTTTCTTTTCTTTGTCCTGCTTTCCTTATATATATATATATATATATATATATATATATATATATATATATATATATATATATATATATATATATAGAGAGATAGATAACGAAAAACTGAGATAGATAAATAATGAATTGAGATAAACAATGAAAAACTGATGGGTCCAAACAGAATGCCAAATACGAGCAACACGTCGTGCTGTCCATTTTGTTTTGGCTTTGTGTCGTTCTTATTTTAATTTATTCAGTGTTGAAAAACAAATTAAAATTTAATTTGACCGGATTTACGTTGTTTGAGCAGACGACACACGGACTTATACGGCATTTTCCCCTTGTCTACAGTTTCTTTTCTTTGTCTTCCTCTCCTGTTACATACATACATATATATATATATATATATATATATACAGGATATATCAAAAATAATTTTACAAATTTTGCCGGAGGGTTCCTTACTCCAAAACAAGGACAAAAGTCCATATAAACATATGTCCTCAAATCCTGCGTTTTGTAGTTATTAACTTTTAGAAAGTTTACGGTAGATGTCGCTGTTTTGCCATTAGACGAGTTAACAATTGTCATTCTTGTACATTTGTGGCTATTCTATCTTCAACGTTTAACGTGTATAGTAGTGAGTTAACTGAGAAGTGTTCCGTTTAACAATGGCAGGATATTCATATCGTGAGCAGACAGATATGATTTTTATATACAGCCGCGCGAATTGTAATGGACGCGAGGCTGCACGGCTGTATCAGACTGC